AGCTTTGCCATAACAGTAATAAATGACATTTTTAAATTGTAATAGTATTTCACAATGTTTCTGTTTTTACAATATTTTTGATCAAATAAATGCAGCCTTGGTGAGCAGAAGAGACTTCTTTCAAAAACATCAAAAAAATCTTACTGACTTCAAACTTGTGAATGAGAGTGTATAAATAATTGTATATACAGTCACATTGTGAAAGTTGAAACTATGGGAATGTCTTAATTTTGAGAAATAAAATTGCAATGATGAGATATACAGTTACAGAAATAAACTTAATTTCTAAATCCTACATCTAAATTTTATCTTTTAAATCTAAAGCACACATACTAACTGCATTTGTCTCTCCATGGTATTTTCTATCACACACTTAACTTTTGGCATGAAACCTAGTTATGCCACGGCTTAGTTAGCTTGCAGAGAGAGCAAATGAATCCTCAGGGATATGTAAAACAAAGTATCCCTGGATGGTGTCCCAATACATCCAAAGAAATCTGCGATAATAGGACAGGATTCGCATTTAACTGCAACACTGCAATCAAGCTAGGATACTCTCATTTGATTTCACAGGGTCTTCAGAAGCCTCGCATCTCAAGCAACCTAGTTGCAAGGTAGCCAAAAACACCCCGTAATTTCAAAGTTGTGGGTGTCTAGTTTTCAAAACCTGGCTAATTTACAGCGCCATTACCAGTTTAGCTTGAAACTAAGAGGAACAGTTGCACCCTCTGACATTTCTTACCTCTGAAGAGCCATTAAAACAAATAGCCTCTACCCGTCTCTGCTCGCTTGAAGGACACTGACCTTCTGATGGGGGCCTTATTTGATGTGAACCTGATAGCACCATCTTTCCAGCAGACAGATCCCACCTCTATTCCCAGAATGCCTTTGGGAGACAGGTTGATGTAATGGGAGTTATATAAGTTAGATGTACATTCTCTCCAGAGCTGAGAGAGAGGGAGGTGACAAGAGGGAGTTGGAGATGGTTGTAAATTTGTAATTTATTTGGTGCAGCAGCAGCCGCTGTGTCCTGCCCTCATGCACTCATGCTCCGGCTCCGTCTGACTCACACCAGAGCATCATCAGACCCGTGTGTGCGCATACGCATGCGCCTGTGTTATTGTGTACAAAGTGTAAATAATTACTCAAGCTTTCTGGTTGGCTGCTCTGGCTCAGGGGTGTTTGAACAGTTATTTTAAAATGTTGGTTATTTTTATGATACAATCAAATATTAATGGAGGATAGAGGCCTTACAATGACGCACCCATTCGTGGAAGAGGTTTGTGTTTGTGGGTTTGTGTGTGTGTGTGTCTGTGTGTGTGTGTGTGTGTGTGTGTGTGTGTGTGTGAGAGAGTGCATGAACAAAGACATTTACCGCGGATAAGCACATTAGGTATGTTAATTACTTTGCATTAGTTTAAATCATGTTAATCTGTAGTTTTAAACACTCTCTTAAAGGTCAAGTGTGAAATTTCTGTGCCGCTGGTATCATTAAGCTGAATTTTTAAACAGGTTTTTGGCTTTTTCCCACTTATTGACTTAAAGAGGTGAAGATATAGAAAAGAATTTTGAAGATATAGAATCTGCTTCTCCCATGTGACCACCAAGATTTAATATTTCATGAGGATGTGTCGATCAATAGGCCATGGCTGTAAATGAGTGTGAAATTCAATGATTTATTTATAGGTGAATCTCACTAAAAAAACAAAACCAGGTCACATAATTAGAAGAAGAAAAAAAGAGATTATATTGTCCATTGTGACTTTATTTGAATGAAAATTATGCACATTTCCTCATTTCCTTGTTTGTTTGTTTATTAAATTTCTGTATTCATTCGTTTAATGCATTTATTTATATGGGAATTCTTTTCATTTGGAGTAAAATATGGCTAACAACCTCCAGTGTGACTTTGACAGTCAATAGGGATGCACAATATATTGAAATGACAATGGTTATCTGCTAATATTAGAGGTCTATGTTGGATATATGTCAGTCTATATTGACTATTTAATTATGCATTTTAATTTTCCTTGCATCTAATGCTCACATAGTCTTTAAATCTGTAAATCTATAATTTTTGAAACTACTAACAATTTAATGTCATTTCAATTAAATGTTATTAATTCCAATTTTCACACTTTATAATAATATAAAATGTAGCATTTAAAATGATTTTTTTTTTTTGTGTTTTATTTTTACATTTATTTCAGCAAAATAGTATAGAACTTTAATATCAGTCATATCTGCCGTAGCATGAAAGCAATATTTCAATATTAGTGCATTCCTAGCAATCACATTGTTCAGGGGCCAGAGGTTAGCATCATCATAACACCTTGTCTTTAACATATGAAATCAGGCAGTCTCTCTGTCTCTATCCCCACCTGCCTCATTCTAAAAGAGAAGAGGAGAGTGAGAGCTAACACCCCATTGCATTGTTCACTTCAAAGACAGCGCTGCTCACTCTATGCTCTTTGAACAGACACAAGTGGGTCTACTGTAATTTGTCTGCCAAATAAAGCTCTTGGAGAGCGAAGCGTGTATGTGCGCTACTGTAATAGCTCAGCTGGGGATGAGACGTCTCTCAAGCATAAATAATTTAAAAACTTATAAATGTTTGATACAATTGATTAGCATGTAATTGTTCTCATAATGACATCTCTAGTCTACAAGAATTTGTATTATATTAATTTATGTGTACATGAGATGTTTGTTATTTATATATATGTGCTTATACAAGATTTCTTTTTCCATTCTTCATAGAAATCCACCGTTCAGCATAAGATGCTTTACATTCTTTTTCAAAATAAATACAAGATACAAAATCAGCTGGATATAAAGTGAAATCCATCCTATTGAAAAGCTGTCTCACAGATCTTTTCAGTCTCACTAAGAGGAAAAAGTGAAGAGGTTGAGGGTGGGAGATGTGTATTTCCATGGTCTATGAAAAGCTCTGCATCCATGAAACGTGTCGAGATTAGAAACCCGAGTTATCGTCCACACAAACAAATATGAAAAGGTCACATACATACACTTTCAGTCTGTTCAGTGGGTGGTATTATCGGGAAACTATACTTATTCACTTATTTAAGTGGCCAATGTGAGCACTAGTATGAGCCTCTATTTCAGTTCTCTAAAGCCCCGTCTTCTGAATAATGTGTGAATGCAGTCTAGATGGAGTGGCCACAGACATTCTTTAAGGGTGTGTTCACACTTGTCATGTTTGGTTTGATTAAAATGAACCCTGGTGTGATTGCTCTGTTAGTGCGGTTCGTTTGAGTAAGTGTGAACTTTGCCATCCGAACCCTGGTGCGTACCAAACAAGCGGACGGAGATCGCTAAAAAGATGGGTCTCGGTCTGCTTCCAAACAAACTTTGGTGCGGTTCGAATGAAATATGAACGCAACACGGACCAAATACTTATAAACGAACCAAAAACAGGAAGTAATGACAAGATGCGACGCTATGCGACATGATTTAACGATGCGGAACGAGCGGTGTATCCAAAACAAAATGAGCAGAGCAACGAGGAGGTAAAGTGCCTTTTATGAGCTCTTTGTGAGTTCGCAGGTGGTGAAAATAAAATCATAAGTACACGCAGCAATGAGCGCGCTTAGTCCAGCAGACGGCATTAGATGTGTTCGACTTAAAGCGGCGCTGTGCAGACCGATCGGTGTATGACATCAAAGTACCCATTCACCGATCGGTCTGCTCAGCGCCGCTTTAGGTCGAACACACCTTTTGTTTGGGGTGTTCGGTGAGTTCCGTCAGGAAATATACGTCATTCAACCCGACCAATTGGATATAAAGTGAAATGCATCCTATTGAAAAGCTGTCTCACAGATCTTTTCAGTCTCACTAAGAGGAAAAAAGTGAAGAGGTTGAGGGTGGGAGATGTGTATTTCCATGGTCTATGAAAAGCTCTGCATCCATGAAACGTGTCGAGATTAGAAACCCGAGTTATCGTCCACACAAACAAATATGAAAAGGTCACATACATACACTTTCAGTCTGTTCAGTGGGTGGTATTATCGGGAAACTATACTTATTCACTTATTTAAGTGGCCAATGTGAGCACTAGTATGAGCCTCTATTTCAGTTCTCTAAAGCCCCGTCTTCTGAATAATGTGTGAATGCAGTCTAGATGGAGTGGCCACAGACATTCTTTAAGGGTGTGTTCACACTTGTCATGTTTGGTTTGATTAAAATGAACCCTGGTGTGATTGCTCTGTTAGTGCGGTTCGTTTGAGTAAGTGTGAACTTTGCCATCCGAACCCTGGTGCGTACCAAACAAGCGGACGGAGATCGCTAAAAAGATGGGTCTCGGTCTGCTTCCAAACAAACTTTGGTGCGGTTCGAATGAAATATGAACGCAACACGGACCAAATACTTATAAACGAACCAAAAACAGGAAGTAATGACAAGATGCGACGCTATGCGACATGATTTAACGATGCGGAACGAGCGGTGTATCCAAAACAAAATGAGCAGAGCAACGAGGAGGTAAAGTGCCTTTTATGAGCTCTTTGTGAGTTCGCAGGTGGTGAAAATAAAATCATAAGTACACGCAGCAATGAGCGCGCTTAGTCCAGCAGACGGCATTAGATGTGTTCGACTTAAAGCGGCGCTGTGCAGACCGATCGGTGTATGACATCAAAGTACCCATTCACCGATCGGTCTGCTCTGTGAACTTTGCCATCCGAACCCTGGTGCGTACCAAACAAGCGGACGGAGATCGCTAAAAAGATGGGTCTCGGTCTGCTTCCAAACAAACTTTGGTGCGGTTCGAATGAAATATGAACGCAACACGGACCAAATACTTATAAACGAACCAAAAACAGGAAGTAATGACAAGATGCGACGCTATGCGACATGATTTAACGATGCGGAACGAGCGGTGTATCCAAAACAAAATGAGCAGAGCAACGAGGAGGTAAAGTGCCTTTTATGAGCTCTTTGTGAGTTCGCAGGTGGTGAAAATAAAATCATAAATACACGCAACAATGAGCACGCTTAGTCCAGCTGACGGCATTAGGTTTATTCGACTTAAAGCGGCACTGAGCAGACCAATCGGTGATGGAACGAGCGGTGTATCCAAAACAAAATGAGCAGAGCAACGAGGAGGTAAAGTGCCTTTTATGAGCTCTTTGTGAGTTCGCAGGTGGTGAAAATAAAATCATAAGTACACGCAGCAATGAGCGCGCTTAGTCCAGCAGACGGCATTAGATGTGTTCGACTTAAAGCGGCGCTGTGCAGACCGATCGGTGTATGACATCAAAGTACCCATTCACCGATCGGTCTGCTCAGCGCCGCTTTAGGTCGAACACACCTTTTGTTTGGGGTGTTCGGTGAGTTCCGTCAGGAAATATACGTCATTCAACCCGACCAATCAGGTTGTGAACGTATCACTATGCCTTTAGGTTCACTGTAAAACATGCCAGTGTGAACGCTCAGCGGACCAGGACCAAATGTATCGTTTTCTTTTTTGATCCGGACCAAATGAACCAAGAGAACTGAACTACAAGTGTGAACACACCCTAACCTGCTAAAGTGGAGCATTGTTAATGCAGTTTTGAAGGATTCAATGTAGAATAAAATAATGTCCTTGTATTCCAATCTGACAATGTCCAGACAATGACAGTGCCATTCACAATGACAGTGACTTTATCATGAGCTCGCTATATTGTTGGTTGACCAATATTTTTACTAATAGTCTTTATTTGTGTACTATTATTGCTATTATTATTATTTTTGCCAAGTTGTTTTGTGATCTAAATGGGAACAAATTTATTTTCATTTTTTTTTTGGGCTCTTTTTTTTTTACTATCAAGCTTGAAATGCAGTGGAATTCTCACTTGAAAATTAAAGGCTATAAAAATGAGTAATTATGCAAACAATATATTCAATTAGAATGTATTAAATAAACATTACCTTCTTTCTATTGTTTCCTGTTGAATGCCCAGCTGTTTTATGGCATTATTAGGCACTGTTCTTTAGAGACCCACCAGTGCCATATATTGGTAGACCTGATATTAAAGAACTGATTTAGTAGAAAACTGTAAATATTGATACAAATACAGGTCGAGCCAATTATCAGTGTCTAATTGCTCGGAATTACTTTTAATATCTCAGTTTTGTCTACACTCAACTACTTTTTCTGATAGAAGATGGACCTTGTGCACTGGTCTCCCATTGGTAGTCACAAGTTTTTTTTCTACCGTTGGAAGTAACTGCATACTAGCATCTCTACTTAAACACTGTTCAGATATGCTCAGCCACACTAAATTGACAATGCTGTTATCATTCAAATCACCAGCCCTCATTGAAAATTAATGACTGAGGGCCACTTTGTTGCGGCAAATCGCTGTAGGTGTGAACGCCGACACTTCGAAACACATTTAGGTGCAGTTAAAAGTGAATTTGAACAGAGTGTTTGGCTTTATAACCAAAGCATTTTAGCAGAAAGAGGCAGTTCTCAAGTTAACCATTATCACTGAAGATGTGTCTTTTTTAGGATTCTTTAGATTATGTACGGTAGATACTTGAGAATCTCCCTCTCTCTCTCTATCTCACTGTCTCTCTCACACTGTCTCTCTATCCACCCATGTGAATCATTCGCGGATTGCCCCCGGGAGTGAATTTTCTGTGTTTTAGCTTTAACCTTTTACAGGGAATCCATCACGGTAATAGCCAGCCAAGACTGCGTCAGACACCATTTTTGCAATGTTTAAAGCTCAGAAGGAAACTGTGCACAGAGCTGCAGTTGTGTGATAAAAACACATAATGATGTGTGGAGCCTGGCGTGGACTAAACAAAATAGTTCAGGATGGATATCTGAGCGTTATCAACTTTTATAGAGCTGTTAAAAGGCTGTTAGATGTGGTGAATGCATTTTTAAAAGGTTGGCAAGGTGCTAATCATTCAGCTGTATGAAATATGTATGTACTGTAATTGGTAGTTGTATAGCATGTAATAGCATGTGGTACTTGTTAGTCAGGCAAGTGTACTGAGGTGTAATTTAACTGACATAGACAGCAGAGTAAAAAATATCAACAATAAGGAACCAGGTTTGTACTGTGGCACAGCTGTTAGTGCAAAGATACGTTGAACCATTGATGCTAATGCAGATTACAAAGCTTCCAGTTCAGCCAGCAGTAATTTTCTGTCATTCTACGTTTGCCATTTTAGTGTGTCATCTTTTAAGTAAAAAAAAAAGAGAGAAAAAAAAAGATCAGGAATTTTTATTTTAGTTTATCAAAAGGAATATGTGGGAAAAACATGAAAAGTAAAATAATTTTTAAAAAGGATAAAACATGGATGAAAAGATAAAAAAAATAAAAATAAAAAAAAGATAGTGGGACCACTTCAATATATCTGTTACGTGTCTCAATGAATAAAGTGTGTAAATTGAAGATTTTCTTTAGCGGCTAGTGTGAAGACTTTGCCCCTGAAGCATTTTATGCTGACTGCTGTTTATTGTATCCTGAAACGGTTATTAGCTGGATATGTTGCTTCTATCTATCACTTTTATTCCTATCACTTTCTCTATCTCTCCCTCCCTCCCGCTTTGCCTTCTAACTAACAAGATTTTCCTTCCCACTGAAAAGAGAATGATGATGAGACAGCAAAATGGGAAAGTGAGAAAAGAGAAGAAGAGGGAAAACCATTACTCCGTTTTCACACTTCAATGCATGTGCACGTCCCTGGGGAGCGCTCCATCTCTCTCTCTCTCTCTCTCTCTCTCTCTCTCTCTCTCTCTTATGTGCGTGTCATGAGGCAGACACATAGTTGCGTAACACTTCACCTATAGAGCATGTACACTGAAGAGCATAAACGCATGCTGATGTGAGACACAATGATACTGTAACATATTGTACTTGTTCAGGAAGACACATGCACATTACTGTAGGTTACTTTTAATGCAGCGACTGCACAATAACGCACACATTTCAAGAGATAGTTCACCCAGAAATTATGTCATCTGCTCACCCTTCATGTCGTTCCAGATCTTTTTGGAAGACTTCCTTTTTCTTACATGCAACAAAAGAAGAAGATGCAACAATTTTGAAGACTTGTGCTGGTTGCTCTTTTTCATGTAATTACAGGGAACTGATGCATTCAAGTTCCAAAATGGATGCAAAAGTAACATCAAAGTGGACTTGGGCACTATATTTCAAGTCTTCTGAAGTCGTATGAGAGCTTTGTGTGAGGAACAGGCAAATTTAAATCGTTGTTCTCTTGAGATCTTGACATCTTTCTTGGCTATCCTGTAAGTGTTCATGTGAGTTTTTGAAAGGAGAGGTGACTCTAATTTATTCTTTTCAATTAATCGGCTTCAATGAATCCATTTCTTGTCACAGCTTTGTATATATATATATATATATATATATATAATTGTCCTATAACCTGACAGATATCACTGATATAGGTGTCCTGAGAAATCACACTTATTTCTGTAACAGCTCTAGACTTGGAGAAATGGCAAGTTAAGTGAATGACCCAACATTTTTAGCCGATCAGAAACACTCTCTGCCTTTTATGTGTTTCAGTTTGATGACATGCCATTAGAGGGCAGAGATTTGGAGAGAAGCCTAATTCAGTGGAAGTTAGCAAATCTAGTTGTTATTACCAGTCAAAAGTGTGGACACATCTGTTCATTCAGTTTTTTAATTATTATTATGGCAATTTTTCACATTTTAAAATCATAATCAAGTCATCACAGCTGTGAAGTAACAAATGAAGGATTGGAATTATGTAGTAATCAAAATGTTCAACAAATCAACCCTTTCTTAAATTTAAGTGTCTTTGTCTGGACATTCACTCAACCAACCCTATGAGATGCATCCTGGGACATTATTTTACTATCTTTATGAAGCGATTTTTCTCATGGGAGCTATTGGCTGGTGCTTACAATGTGACATTTTAGTTTTTACTCTCCTTTTTGGGGACATTTGGTCCCTGCAGTGTAAATAAAACCTGACCAACACACACACACACACACACACACACACACAGAGAGAGACACTCACACCCCTCAAAATCATCATCTTCAGGAGTGTCAAGTACATCAGCGTCCCAATTCTGCGCCTCTCTGTACCCATCTCATCCACACACAGACACACACACACACAGAGAGAGACACTCACACCCCTCAAAATCATCATCTTCAGGAGTGTCATGTACATCAGCGTCCCAATTCTGCGCCTCTCTGTACCCATCTCATCCTTTGTTTTCCTGCTTTCCTGCTGAACTTTTATTTCATCTTTCCTCACTCTTTCATCTTCTCCCTTTATCTTTCTCTTTTCCTCTCCTTGCCTGCTCCCTCTCCCTAAATATAGCAGCTTTGAAGCATCCCTCACCAAAAAATCTTTCATTCAGTCTGCATGTGTGTGAGCAAGAGAGAGAGAGAGAAAGCCCTAATCAAGGATGTGATTGCCATCTGTTGTGTATTGATAAAAGGCTAAGAAAGACACTGATTAAAAAATGGGGGAAAAGCTGTAGCAAAAAAAAAGCAGATACGGTGAGTAAAAAAGGAGGAGTGGAGCTGTAAAGAGGACTCGTGAATAATGCGCATTTTAGAAAGCAAAAAAAAAAACAGCTTGCATGTGTAGTAGTACAAAGTGTGTAAAAAAGAGAAAGGAAGTGTGAAGAAAGACAGAAATCGAGGAGAAAGGGGTTAGCGGAAGAGGAATGGAGAAGGAGTGGGTGACATTTCTGATCCTAGTTTTGTAATTGAATAATAATCTCCTGCGGGACCTGACCTAGAAGCGCGCAAGTGTGTATTAGCACGGTTTTTTTTCTGTGTGAGTCAAATGAGAAGGGCCGCCGCAAAGTGAAACACTGCCCCCTGTTGTTTGATCAGTGCCTCACACGCATTAAGCATGAAAAATGATCTGGTTTAATGTGCTGTGGCAAAGCATTGAAATATAACTGCTTTTCCGTTCAAGCAGGACTTATACGTTTTAAAAAGGTCAATGTGATAAATCTTCCATTTTCTTCCTTTTTTTTCTGTCTGTCCATACGGAAATCTAAAGCATATGACACTGATGCCATTCGATTAGCAAAAACACTGTAATCTTATAATAATGTTTTGTTTGTTTCTCTTTTTCCCATTCCTTCCTCTGTCTTTCTTTCAGCTTGCGGAGAGAGGGCTACACCGTACAGGTCAGTGTTAACGACTACCTGGACATCTACTGTCCACACTACAACCACAGCCAACGGGGGGCGCTAGAGCGCGGTGTGGCCGAGCAGTACATTCTCTACATGGTCAGTTACCGAGGCTACCGCACCTGTGACCCACAGATGGGCTTCAAACGCTGGGAGTGCAACCGGCCGCACGCCCCCCACGCGCCAATTAAGTTCTCAGAGAAATTCCAGCGTTACAGCGCCTTCTCGCTAGGCTATGAATTCAACGTGGGTCATGAGTACTACTATATATGTGAGTGTTTGTTGCTTTCTAATGTTATTTTTGTTACAGTTTTTTTTATTTTGTCTGTTTAGTAGTTAGGTTTCATCTACAAAGCATCAGACTCACAAACCTCAAAAATTGTAAGTACACTGATGTATTACAGTTCTATTGATTAAGAAAAGGAATAATAATTAAAAACAATATTTAAAACATACATCAGTTACCTAATAAAAGCTTTTATTTTACATGGAGTGGGTCGACTCATAGAGGCTGGAATGCAGTGTTATTTTAGTGTCATTGAGATACTATTATAGTTTTTTTTTTTAATATTTAGAATTAGTTTTTATTTTTTTGTACTTTCTGTTTTTATTTAAATTTTTGTTAAACATTTAGTAATTTTGTTCATTATTGTTATGGTACATTGACTGAATGTTGCTTTGACAAGTAGCTGAAGTAAAATAAGCTTGGAGTTTTTTTATATTTTATTTTATTTCAGTTAATGTTAATTTAACAAAAATATTTTTATGGTTTGGGTTTTAGTTAATAATAATAGCCCTGCTGGTATGTTCACATGGCCACCCACATATGAAAATTACTAAGTTTACCTTCAAATACAAATTAAGCTCAATTAATAACATTAGTACCTATGTGTCCATCCAAGTCAAAAATTTAATTTGTGCAAAAAAAAAAAAAACATTTGTATCTTGTCCCTTTTGGGGAAATTGGCTCAGAATAGAAATATAAATTGGAGCCAGTGGGGAAACCACTTTCATTAAATATAATAAATCATGTTTTGAATAATTTAATTTTTGCTAGCAGTCTTTGGCAGATGCTTTAGGCCTTGAACAACAATATGCTAGAACATTCTGGAAGGTGACACTAGCTTAAGTGAATTAAACTGTTATACTTATCTCAGTGAATTAATCAGTCACATGACTGAATCAAAGTCACATTTTTGTTTTTGACACATTCGGGAATTTATTCAGTAATCGTGTTGTAGTTGTAGTTTATGAGCATTGTTGTCTCACTAAATAATCATTATACTCAAGCGAGTGTGTACGTTTCTGTGCAAATTCTGCAAATAGAATAGAATCTTAATGTTTCACGTTACTCAACTTTTAATGCAGCATTCCAATATTTGCATAAGAACACATGGATGGAAAGCTGGCGGCACGCTACCTCAGAAAATGCTCCTCAGTTTGTAAAAACAAGCTAACAATGGAAGTATCTGGGGCAAACGTTGCACAATTACAAATGGATTTCTGTCAACAAACTCAGGTGCAAGTCAAAATTATTTCTGTGGTTATTGACAGCATGCCACAGATTCTGTCCATAGAGCTTAACTTGTATTTAACATAATAAACCTTTAAAGTGTTCTTTAGCTGGCAAGTTCCAGGTTGCAGTAAGCTAACTTTATCTAAACTCCACTGACAGAAAAGGTTATTACACAGGGAAAGGCATACTGGTGAGCAGATGGAGGTTTAGTGCATTGTTAACAGAAGTGCCTTGACAGGATCCTCCCTTTCATGATTTGGCGATTGTACCACTGAGCCAATCATGGCCCTTCCTGTCGTGGAGTTTTTAAAGTAGTTAAAATAAAAAGAGTGAGAACTTTCTGCATGAGCACCATTATGTGCAAGGTTACAGATAAGTCATACAGATGCAGTTAACACAAAAGAAAACAATTTGCAACCCCAGTGATCGTCTTTAAAGGGCTTTATTGTTTTGAGGCAGTAGTTTGAAGCAAGGCAGTGAGTTATTTCAAACACAGCCATGTTTCATTCATTTTACCAAATCACAACTGAGAATAAAAGAAAGCTCCTAAGGACAGGCTCAAATGCATCTCTCCCAGCAGTCCATTTGCTCTCAAAACTGCCTTGTTGGTCAAATAGTGACAGCTTTGCCATCCAGAGGAGCTTGTTATTGGGATTTGGACATTACGGGCGGCTGCCGATCATCAGTCTTTCTGGCATTTGGGTCGATCACTACCAATTAGAGCGCAGTCAGCGCACCCATTTTGATTGAAAACTTTTTAATGCAGGCTATAAACCGAGTGTTAATAGAGCATTGCTAATGATGATTTTCTGATGCATGTCCCACCTAATGCTAATAGTCGTCTTCATTAGTGCGGTCTGTAGGCAGGTTATTAGCGATAATATGACAACTGTTTGGTATTGAAAAATGGCATCACACTCAAACATTTCTATGATAACGTGGCCCATATGTTTATCAACCTGAAAACAAGAAACGTTATCTTTGTCTGAGCTCAGGGGAGTTTGTTTGGGGCCAATTCATCAATCACAGATGGGATCTGCAGCTTGTGGAAATGGATAATTTAATAAATGTACACCGTATCTGTTTTGATCAATGTTATTTATTTAGTGTTGGTTTTATCTCAGCAGAAGGAGCTTTGCCTTTGATACCTTAAAGGGGCTATAGCATTTGCTTTACTCTTTTAAAATAAAGTGTTAATTGAAATACATAGACAATCTCTAAACCAGGTTACTACTCATGTAAATGACCACAGAATGACTAACTTTGCATATAAAATAAGAAAGAATTAAAGGTACAGTATTAAAAACAGCTAGTTAAATTGTAATGGCCAGAGTAAGAGCAGAAATGGTCATGAAAAATTAATTTTGGGCTGTACTGCTTATTTGTTTGTTTGTTTGTTTAATCATGTGAAATGCAATCACAAATATTTAAGTCACACTCTACAAACAAATGTTTTGGTTAGAGTTAGGGTTAGAAAAAATAAATATATATATATGCTGCATAATGTTCATTAAGTAGTAAACGAGTATCACATTCAGATCCTTAAAGTGATGTCAGTGCATGTTATTGTCCAGTAGGAGGCAGTAGGTTAATGTTTGTGCTGTCATGTGTTATTGCAGCTACACCAATCCATCACCATGGACACAGCTGTTTAAGACTGCGGGTGTTTGTCTGCTGTTCTATAGGTGAGCATCATTACACACACACAAAAAGCATGCAAGCCACAAGAGGAGGTCATGATGATGGGTTTAGTGTGTGTTTGTGTGTGAGCAAACTATTAATGCTTGAATACGTTCTGTGGCCTCTTTGATCAGAGCCATGTCCTCATCCCCTGCGCTCTCTTTCAGTTTCTCTTGTCACTCTTTGCTCTCTCTTTCTTTGATAGCATAACTCATGCAGCTCTTCAACACAAGTTTAATTGCATTAATCACTGATATATCTCAGTTATATATGTGTGTATATTTTTGTAAATGCTTTGTTAGCGTACTGTACATAACTATGTTTTGAAGTTTGAATGAGTCGTGTTTAAATAAGGGATAGCAAGAAAATGTGAATTCAGTTTTAAAATGTAAACTATATTAAGCTAATAAATGTAGCCATTTTTGCAGTACACAAAAGCATGCTATGCTATTTTTTTAGTATTATAAAAAGACTATAAATGAATAAATGCAAATAATATATAGACTGAAAGTTAAAAAGATATTATTTACCTTAATTCTCCCTATATGAGTTTCACAAATGTTCATAAACAGAATTTTATTTATTTATTATACTAAGAAAAATTCTGCTATGACATGCTTTTGTTTTTTTGTTGCAAAATGCATCTAATTTATTACCTTAATATAGAGTTCACACCTCACTTGTTCGAGCTTCTGCATTTTACTGTATTGTTGTTTTGTTATCTAATACACGGACATTCATACATTTTTAAATGAATTGCTCACCCAAAAATGACAATTTTCTAAAAATTTACTCACCCTCAGGCCTTCCATGATGTAAATGAGTTTGTTTCTTCATCGAAACAGATTTGGAGAAATGTAGCTTTACATCTCTTGCTCGCCAATAGATCCTCTGCAGTGAATGGGTGCCGTCAGAATGAGAGTCCATACAGCTGATAAAAAACATCTCAATAATCCACATGTAATCCACACGACTCCAGTCCATCAATTAATGTCTTATGAAGCGAAAAGCTGTTTGTTTGCAATAAACAAATCCATCATTAAGGTGTTTTAACATTAAACAGTCACTTCTTGCCATAATCCATAATAATGCTTCCTCCAGTCAAAAAGTCCATCCCCTGTTGTCCTCTCACATCAAACCCCACCAACATATTTGTTTAGAATTGATTTTGGTCTGTTTTTCCACATGTAAACAGTGCTTGGTCTGTACATATTTCTCTCCTGATTCAGATTAGATTACTTTTTCACTGGAGAAAGTGATATTATGGATTAAAGTTTGAATTTAAAAATGTCTTAATGATGAATTTGTTTATTACAAATGCAGCTTTTCGCTTCACGAGTTTAATTGATGGACTGGACTGGAGTGGTGTGGATTACTTGTGGATTATTGTGATGTTTTTATCAGCTGTTTGGACTCTCATGCTGACGGCACCCATTCACTGCAGAGGATCCATTGGTGAGCAAGTGGTGATATGATACATTTCTCCATATCTGTTCCGATGAAGAAACAACCTCATCTACATCTTAAATGGCCTGAGGTTGAGTAAATGTTCAGGAAATGTTCCTTTTTGGTTGAACTATGCCTGAAGTGTCCAAATAGTTTTTGGGGCCACTGTATGCACTCAGATCATGTGTTTTCTCTGCTACAGCCTCTAATGCAGATGACGACTCAAACCAGAGTCCACCTGACTACACTGTCAGACCCAAACTGCATGACATTGGTGAGTGAACACAATGCCTGCACACACATTGGCTTTATAAAAGTATGTAACACAAATGTTCATCTGCTCTCAGAAATATGTCTGTTTCCCATTTTAATCTGCCTCGTAAGCATCTGAAATTCCTCATAAAACCAGGATAACCATTTGGCCAGATAGGAACGTCCTGTGACCAGGGGATGGCCAATAACAAACAAATGAATGCATGTATTCATTCTCTCTATTTTTGCTTTCTCATGCTCACTCAAATGTTATTTTTATTCTGAGAAATTGAGCTGTAATGCATCTGAAATGTATGTCCAGCGAATACTCAGAAACCCAAGTTCACATCAGGATCACAGGAAGGATCATCCACATGCCCTTGCTAAAACACATAACAAAACAAATAGCTGGCACTTTACACCACCCTAGGCATCCAAAAGCACTCTAGCAGTAGGTCTGTTCGTGTGTGTGTGTGTGTGTGTGTGTGTGTGTGTGTGTGTGAATGCACAGGCCATTAAAATGGAAACTGATTCTTGTATCCATTTATAACACACATACACCACATGAACAAATGACCCTCTGTTTGTACGCATATCGTCCTACTTCTAAAGCTGTCAGCATCCTGTTAGCTTTCCCAAACCGTATTTAATAAAAAACACATTGCTGACAGGTCAACCACCCTGTTATAAATAAAAATCCAATTGCAGCTGTCTTGAAAAGTACGTTTTACTTTGTTTTCTGCCAACAGCTCCATAATACCATCATTTGTGCTGACGCTGCATTACAACATTCGTTCTGTTTAGGTCTGTGCATAGTACACATTATATAGTGTGTTCCAGTCAGGAATTATCCTCGATGAAACTGATATGATAAGATAAGCACTATTCTGAAAAGACTTCCGAAGTTTAACATAGCCTTAGAGACCCAGGAGACCTGATGTTTCTTATTTCAGCTTGCCAAGTCACAAGGAAAGAAGTTCTGTGCTAGTTTAAGCCAAAAAAGTGAAACAGCTGAAAGCTAAAGCAATTTTTGGCTTTTTCTTCTTCATTTGACTAATAAGCTACTGTAGAGATATCTAGAAATGATTGGCGAATGGTTGGGTGACCATTTAGTCTCTTTTTCCTAGACAAATCCTGGTCAGGATTTCTAAATTGCCCAAAACAATAGGTTTTGTTTTCCTATTGACGTGCTCTCTACAGTCCTCATACATTATATGTACATGTGTTTGCATTGCCTTGACCGTTCTCTTTAGATCCCACCTTCTTGCATGCCCCTGTCATGTACAATGCCTGCACGCTATTGGTCAAACTACTTTTCAGTCATTACCTTCAGTAAGTATGAAAACAATAGCAAAACAGTCAAAGTTAGACTTTTTAGGCAATTTAGAAATCCTGGCCAGGACATGTCCGAGAAAAAGAGGACGGCCTAGCAAGTGAGATCAGCATAGTCACAGGGTAGACTCAAATCTGCATGGCCTAAGATGAGACATGCAATGTGACATGCACTAACCACTGCCCCATTGCTCCAGTAGAGCTATTAGTCTAGTTTTTTCACCATGTTGTCCATTGTTGTGAGTCCATTAATTACAGTTTTTACACTGGTAAATTATGCTTCTGCTATTGTATTTATAAAATAGCACAATTTCCTATATAGTCTATGCCACATTATTAATTTTCCAAAAATGCTGGATGGAAACACCAATATGCAAATATATATATATTTTTTAACATTGATATTTTTTTTTATTTTATATATCAGTGCCAATTCTCTCAAATGTGTTGGAAGTGCTGCTTTATTTATTTAGCAATATTGTAATTTTTCACATGAAATTTACACAGTTTTTTTTTTTTAAATCCTCTTGTTTTTACAAAATAAATATAGAATATAAAGAATAATTCTGAAAAAAATACATAAAGTTAAATGCTGCTACAATTACAATAATTATTTTACAGTGCTTGGATTCACAGCTAAAACATTTTTGTTTACTTTTGCACTCTAAACAATTCTGGTAGTGTTGGATCAGCACTTGTTGTCCACTGTCAAATCTGTGTCCTTAAGCAAAACTAGTTGAGAGCCACTAGGATGTAAGGCTATATATGTTTGACAGGAATGTTATTCCAGGCCCAACAAAGGATGTTGATCCAGGAACACGTCCTACTTTGTCACACAGAGAGCAGAAGCAGTCCAGTTGGATTTTTACCTGTGAGCATCAACAATAAAAAATTCCAGACTTTTGCATGATGTGTTGACACGGCTCTGCTGAAACGTCCATTGATATGTGTGTAGCTCTGTGTCTGCTATCACAGCAGCGTGTTTAACCTCTAACTGCCCGAGCGTCCTTTATCAACATACAGCGTGGCTGCTGCAGATAAGAAATGTCACATTTTCTTTGTTTAATAAAGATTATCTAGCGTAGCGTTAGTTCTGGCAGGTCACGTTAGTCAAGCTCGCATCAGCTGACTCTCAGCTGATCCCCATCAACCTATGGGAATACGACACCTATCTAAGTATTCATATATAAGGTCCCGCAGTAGTATCAGCAGTTTCGCATTGCTCAATAGCTAATTACCCTCCTCCATCCCCAACTCCTCCTCTGTCAGTCGGGATTCAGCCTTCTGATTCTCCTTTGAATCAGACTAATTCTAAAATGTGTACATAACATTATTGAACTTAACGATATCTGCAATACATTTATGTTGGTTCTGTTCTGTTTACCCTGGGGGGTTATCGCTGCTCTCCCTGTTCTCATCCATGCTAGGCTGGATATCCTTCCCAGTTTTCTCTCTACAATTATATCTCCTGTTATATCTCCTGTTTTAATAGACAAGTTTTCTCTCTTGCTATCTCTCTTCCGTTCTGCTGCCTTTATTTTCCCTGTCTCTCTCTCTTTCTAAGTGATTATTTTCATCATCAATAACCCTTGTAGAATGTTATAGAGCTTTGGGGCCAGTAATAATAAAGAAAATGAATGGATGTGTTTTATCTTCCTTATATTTGGAGAAGGCTGTGGGGAAACCATTACAGTTGCTGTAGGTAATGACATTACTCAAAGAGGAATCATTATTTCCCTTGCTCCCTTTTGTCATTTGCTGATGTTTAGTAGGTGATAATTTAGTGTCTATGTAAGCATCTAACTTTAAGGTCTAACTTTTTTCTTTGGGTTGCAGTTGCTTAATGGTAAATACATGTGTTCTTGACACTGAGCCATGGTGCTCATGTGAGATATGCAGGTTCAGCTCCAGCCTAGAGTGATGTTCCCATCACATTCTCATTCCCCCTCTCTTTTTTCAATCATTTCCAACCCTTCATTTCTTGACATTTCAATTAGAGAATGGATGTGGTATTGGTTTCCACCTCAGAGTACACAAAGCAGTAATTGTGAGAAAGTTTAAAATAAGAAATAAAATCACATTTCATATACTACTATTCAAAGGTTTGGAGTCAGTAAGAGTTCAGTGTCACATGATCCTTCAGAAATCATTCTAATATGCTGATTTGCTGCTCAAGAAACATTTCTTATTATTATCAGTGCTTCATATTTTGGTGGAAACCATGATGCTTTCATTCAGGTTTTTAGATGCTCACTAACTTCTTTCTTTCTTTCTTTTTTTTATCTCTCTTTCTCTCTCTCAGATGAGTTTAACCCTGAGATCCCTAAACTGGAGAAGAGTGTCAGCGGCAGCAGTCCGTCTGGAGACCGACTGTTAATCACTGTGGCGACGCTTCTCCTCGCTGCTCTCCTCGTGTCCTAGCAACCGTCTCTCCCTCTCTCTGACATTTCTGAGCCAGCAGTCCCGAGCTCTCTGAAAAAAAATCGCCTTTCGTTCAACCTGTGCGGGAAATTATCCAATCAGAACAGATTAATCACTAGTCGAGCCCTAAACGTGGGAGCTAATTGTAGATCTACCGCACCCAAATAGTGGCCTTTGTCTCCACAATTTTGGACCTTACGATTAAGGATGACATGCATCGATTTCAGGATTTGCCTTTGTGACGGAACGTCCACTCTTCTCAAACATACTCGCGGAGAAAAAAAAAAACAATCTGTTTAGACAGTGAGGTATCTACCTCTAGCTACGTCTGTTCTCATGTTCAATGAACCCATCCAGACTGGGGCAGCTCTTGAGGTGGACATTCTGAGATTGACATGAGCTCAAATGGATATGACAAGCGTCATAGTGCTCAGTGCTTTGACCGTTGGATCTCAGCTGAGGGACTCGAGGAGTATTGGAGACCTTTGATCCTGTCTTAACATTCTGTAACAACCCATACCTATGTGACTGCGATATGTGTCAGTCATTGATAGTGTTGCAGCAGAGATCAATAAAACTCATTTGCCAGTCACTAAGTTCAGATGTTAGGCTTATGAATCGTTCACAGAAAGGCATGGCTGCTGTTTCTGCTAGTTGCCGGGCTGGAGTCTCGTTTGTGAGCTGTAATGGGAACGCTTTCCATCTAGTTTCCTAGTTCCACTGCTGAACTTGGAAACTAGAGGCAGATTATCGGTCAGAGACCATCACTTTTGTACATTGTGTGACCGAAAGAGTTTGGTCATCATAGCAGCGCACATAACAAAAGAGAATCGAGACGGACCGAATGAAGGGTAGATAATAGATAGACTTTTATTTGCTATAGTATGTACGTGTCATCATGGGAAGGTACTGGATTGGCCAGTGCCACTGATTAGCATAGTGGCCATTTTTGTAAGAGCGGTCGAGTCATAAACTGCAATTCGCTGTTTTATATCGAAGAATTGCAGTGCAGGATTAGTTTTTACTGTATGATACATATTTAACTGCTCTTTGAGTATGTTACTTTATATGCTTAATTTATTGAGTTATTTATTGATCATTTGATCCTTTTTTGAAACTTTGTGAGTTTTGTCTGCTTTTTTGAGGGATCTTTCCTCATCTTTGCTAATGCCAAATTATTTAGTTTGTTTTTGTTCGTTTCATAGCCTTTATTTCTGTTCATGTGCCAGCAAAATGAGTCAAAACTCATAGTTACAGAAAAAATCTTTAATGCATCTCATCCATTGCTCTCAGTTGAAATAGGTGCATTATCTTCATAAGGAGAGTCATTATTATAGGACAGTGTGAAATTGTTGTAGTCTATATTGGTGGGCGGGGCTGGGAGGGCTTGAAGGGCGGGGCTTCAATGCAGTAACGAAGGAGTTTAATGAATAAGCATTCCTCAGACCGCTGCAGACAATGTCAAGAGTGAATGTCTATGTAAATGTTTCTGCGTATGTGTCTTATGAGTGTGCACTTTACAGGGGATCGTATGAAAGTGTGCGCGTTTTGGCATTTTCGTATGCATTTAGATACACATTTGTAGGTTTTAAATACTCAAGCTTGCGTGAGAGTTTTAGCTGGTGAGAATGGGGTTGGCAAGAACGAAAGCATTTATCATTGTTGGAAACAACAGTACCAATCGTGATTACCTTAGAATGATTACAAACATGTAAATGAATCATGAATGACAATTACCAGAATGAAACTTAATAAACCATTCTTATTTTAACAGTCTTACTGTTATTTTTATTGTCTGCAGGTTGCCTTCATAGCATTTCAGAATCATAATCGGCATGACATGATTCTCAGAATGTTTTCTGTAAATGAGTTTGCACTGACTCATATATGTGGAGAACAAATATTTTGTTTGTGCTTTTAGAGGTTTGTTGCAATGCTCTTTGTAGCCACTCCTTTTTTTTCCACAGTACGCTGGTTGTCAGACCACATTTACTACCCGAGTGACAGCTTGGATTGAATGTGGACTGAAAATATATAATGCACAGTTTTATAGCGACTGCTATAAGATATTCTAATAATATAAAATTGTATATGTTTAGCTGTAATATAATGGTGTAACACTTTACAATAAGGTTCCATTAGTTAACATGAACTAACAATGAAAAATACTTCTAAAGCATTTGTTAATCTTTGTAGATGTTAATTTCAACATTTATTGATACTTTAAAATCAAAAGTTGTATGTGTTAATATTATTTAATGTACCTGAGGTAACATGAATTTATAAGTTTACAATAAGCAGTTGTATTTTTATTAATTGACATTAACAAATATTGATAAATACTTCAACCTCATTGTTAGTTAATGTTAGTGCATTAACAATTAACTAATGGAACCTTATTGTAAAGTGTTACCAGTATGATATAATAATATAGATATGTACTGTTTGTGTGTGTGTGTGTGTGTGTGTGTGTATGTGTGTGTGTGTGTATATATATATATATATATATTATGTTCAAAGTAATTATGTAGCATAACTAGTTACTTTTATATGGCAATTATGTAACATGTTTCTTGTAAAAGCTTTTACTTTAATTAGAATTTAGTCCTCATAACTGAGTCTGTTTCTAGAAGGTACATTTGTCTCATTTTTTATCTCTCCATCTGTGTTCTGCGCTTTGTCTCTGTTATTTTATCTGCTCTGTTTCACACCCGGACGTACTCATTTACATTCAGCTAGACCAAACACACGTCTGTCTCCTCAGGTAAAAGGTTCCTGCAGTGATGAGAATCTGACCTCATCTGAACTCTTCAAGGTGCCCATCATTATAGAACACACACATACTCATACACACATAGTCACAAACACAACATAAAACACTCCACTGACAGTTCTGGGAAGATGCAGTCGTTCTTCTCAATTTCGGCCCTTCCATCTAAGGAGAAAATGCCTCGGAGCAAAACGTGTTTGTACACATCTGTCTGTCTTTTATTCTTTTTTATCGTTATGTCTTTCTCTGTCTCTTAAGTGTTGTCTAGTTCCAAGGACACTCCACGTACAAGCAATGATAATCAACACCCTCGGGATTCAAGGGTAAGCAAGATTAAATCGCACATCAAACATGCCAGTTTTGATTCAATTCAACTCAACTGCACATAGTAATTGTGCAATTAACCATTCTAACTAATAACATGGTTGCACATTTCATAAAAAACATTATTGGCTCTATATTTGTGTGGATGATCCAATTTGTCCATCGCAGTAACAGTTGTAATGGTGATGAGATGCTATTTTGAGGCATGAAAGAGTGACCCAGTGGCGAGGCTACATAAGGGCCAGGGTCGCACTGGCCCACTCAGATTGACGACTGGCCCGCCCAATCAAATGAGGAAAGACGAAAAATCCTGCATACATTACAATAATTGCTCAAATACATGAACATACAAACAACTTGTATGTGTGAACAAGTAAAAGAAAAAAATAAGTAGTAATAAGATCCTGGTGGATGAGCACTGATCTTCCAGTTTTGCACTTCTATTCTGTTGCGAATGCAAGAGCTGTCAATATAAGCGATCAATCCAATCCAAGCGTGCTCCCGCTGTAAAACAGTCCCTGATTGGTCTTTAGTCATCGTCCCATTTTCCTTTGTGACTGTTTACGAAGTCAGTAAATGTATGACTAGCGTTTTAAAATCTGTTCCATGTTGGAATAGTCTACTTTTAAAATCTGACCAGATTTTAAAACACTAGGCATCATACACTCACCGACTTTGTAAATAGTCACAGAGGAAAAACTGGCTATCATACATTAAACGACTTAGGATCATACACACTACCAGACTATAAAGTCATTCCGATCAGAAAAATCACACGAAATTTGCATCCTTATTTTTATCTCATGTAGACTATTGTAAAATGATTTTTGAAATAGGCACTGAGGTCCACCCTGTTTTACCTACAGTGGGTACGGAAAGTATTCAGACCCCCTTCAATTTTTCACTCTTTGTTATATTGCAGCATATGGGGTGCTGTGTGTACATTAATGAGGAAAAAAATTTAACTTAAATGATTTTAGCAAATGGCTGCAATATAACAAAGAGTGAAAAATTGAAGGGGGTCTGAATACTTTCCGTACCCACTGTATGTCCACTCAATTTAAAATTTCTGGCCTCGCCACTGGTGTGACCAGACAGAATATGTGTGATAGCATTACTTGACGCCGATGTTGAGGTAAAATCATGGTAAAACGTGTTAAGGTGAGGAGTACTGCATTATTATTGATAGGTAAAAGTAACTTGTAACCAAAATACTTACACACAAGGGTGTAGAATGTTGGGTATTCACAATCAGTGTGGATCTACCTTTAGGCAACACGTGTAAAGGAGCTCACAGCTGACTTCCTTCTGGCGACACATATGCTACTCCTCGACCTCCCAGAATGTGGTGGCATCTCGGTCATTCTGAGGGCTTTGTCTTGCAGAGTTAACAGGAATTCATTAAATAGAAAAGAATAAAAAGTCAAAATATATGAAAGGATAAGTTGAGGAGGGATGTTGCTTTTTATGTAATTTGTAAATTATAAATAAAATGTATAATGCAGGTATAATGATGAATCAGTTTAATGCATTACCATTATACACCGTCCATCAGTTCTACTTTAAAGAGTATGTGACGTGTTAAAGGGATAGTGAAATTCTGACATTATTTACCAGTACTCATCTTCCACGTATACTATAATTATCTTTTTGTGGAACACAAAATTTATTTTTGCAGCATGTTTTGGCCACTTTGCAATGAAAGTGAATAAGGTATGGAAACGTTAAACTCTAAAATGCACCATTATAAAAATATTCCACACAACTCATACTTTGTATTCAAAGTCTTGTGATAGCTATATGTGAGGAATAGATCAGATGTTAAGTAGAAATTTTAGGGCCCAAGTACTAGGGGACACGATGCTCCACCCAACAGGAAGTTGGCTATTCAGGATTTTGTGAAAAGTGCATGCTGTGGAATTTGATATACTCATCCTAGGTTTTTCATCCAATTGCCACTAAACTCGGTCAACATGATCTCAAGACATTGGGGATGCTAAATTGTAACGGGATTTTTGATATCTCGAACGGTTTGGCTGTGGCGAGGCAACAAATTTATGGTGAAGACAGGGAAACAGGAAGTGTGTTATAACTAAATATACAGCATACATTATCTGAATTTGATCAAACTTCAGCAGTTTGTTAATTGAAGGAGAAGGGTTTGCTTCAGTCACCAAACTCAGTACATACATTGTTCTCATCAAGCAGAGCAATGCTTAGTTTCATGATTTTTTGATGCTCTGGGGGCTAACAGCATATTCTAAACTTTACAACTCAATTTCCATTAGCTAGAATGACAAACAAATACATAGAATAAGCTAATATGTACTGTACTGGTAATATAGTTTTATATAATTATTTCACAAATGCTCGTAGATCATTAAAATAATAAAAAAACGCTTAAGGATCATTAACATTAGTTAATCAATTAACTAACATGAACTAACAATGAACAATATATTTTTACAGCATTTATTAAAATGCATTTCAATACCCTTCAAAACTTCACTCCTGAAACTAAAAGTCTGGTTGTGTAATCAGCAGCCGTGAATGAGCTGATGATCTTAGTCTTTGGGCCTGACATCTGTCCTGGGCACAGAGAGCTTCATTAGCCTGTGGTGCACCACCAGAGGGTGTCAGGTTCATCTGCGGTCTTCAACTCCCAATTATCTTGTACTGTTAACAACAATAATACTAATTATGTCTGACATTAAATAGTACAATGTCACCATTGTATCGCTTGCTGCAGACTGTATCACTTGGGCAGATGGTGCAACTACCATTGGCCACTAACAGGGATCCTGTTGTTCATTTAGATATGGAATAAGGTCCAGTTTGGAGCAGCAGCCCTAATTACACTAGGATAGCTGCCAGATTTTGCCCATATGGATTTTGGCATTGTTTGTCAGTTCATGTTAAATGCTAATGACATGGTACCACAATGATTGTTGGCAATATGGGTGCTATTGTGTAGTGAGCTAAGACAAAACCATAATGCTAGTTTTGCTTTGCCATTTTCAGTCAGACAAGGTTTAGGGATTAGGGAACAAAGAGTTGAACT